TCCTGGCGCCTCCCGATCGCCGGCTGCGGCGCGGCGCTGCTTCGTCCAGGAGGCGGCGGCCGGGCTGGCTGTGTGGCTTGTGGATTTTTAAAAATTTGGCTCCGAGGAGGACCATTTCCTCTCGACATGCATCTCTCCGGATAGACTGAACATCCCTCGGTCCGTCCCCCGCCCCGCGCGGTCAGAGGCAGGCGCTGGGTGTGCGAAGAGGATCCGGGTTGAAATCTGCGCCCCTGGTTCTCGTCCCCGCCCCGTCCCACCGCCTCCTGCCCCTCCCGGAGTCGAAATTTCCTGGGGATTATGTTTCGGAAAGGTAGGTAAGCGCCGGGCGCCGCGCCCGCTTCCCTGCAGCCCGGACCCGGAGAGCCAGCGAGGCGGCGAGGCAGCTCCTGCGGCTTGCAGCGGAGCCGACAGCCCATCTCCTCTTCTGGAGGTGCCGCTGGTGGTGGTGGTGGTGGGGAGACTTGTTCCAAACACGGACGTCCCCCATCTCTCCCCCCCTCCCTGTTTTCCGTTAGGAACCCGGCGAGGAAATACATGCACTCGCTGAGAATCGCCCGCGCCAGGGCGCAACGCCACCAGGTGTAGGGAGTGTGTGGCGTGGGGCGAGAGGGGACCCAGGACTCCCCGTGGCTCGGAGCGCCCGGCCGTAGGCTCTTCATTCCTGCCCTCGGGGCAGAGGGAGTGATCCGGCCCCCACTCCCCGCCCCGACCATGGTAGTGTTCAATGGCCTTCTTAAGATCAAAATCTGCGAGGCCGTGAGCTTGAAGCCCACAGCCTGGTCGCTGCGCCATGCGGTGGGACCCAGGCCGCAGACTTTTCTTCTCGACCCCTACATCGCCCTCAACGTGGACGACTCGCGCATCGGCCAAACGGCCACCAAGCAGAAGACCAACAGTCCGGCCTGGCACGACGAGTTCGTCACCGATGTGTGCAACGGACGCAAGATCGAGCTGGCCGTCTTTCACGATGCCCCCATCGGCTACGACGACTTCGTGGCCAATTGCACTATCCAGTTCGAGGAGCTGCTGCAGAACGGGAGCCGCCACTTCGAGGACTGGGTGAGTTCGGCGCCTCCTGGTCCGGGAACCCAGATGTGGGGTCTCGGAGAAAGACTTGCTGGCCTTCGTATTGGTCCTGGGGCTCGGAGACTACTGGGTGTGTGTGTGTGTGTGTGTGTGTGTGTGTGTGTGTGTGTGTGTGTGTGTGTGTATTT